TATATATATATATATATATATATAAATATATTTAATGTATAAACATAACATTTTTCTCAAATATATCCATGCATGTGTGTGTATTTATATATACATAATAAATATGCACAGTACACACACATATATTATGTAAACAAAAACTTTTATTTTGGATGCGATTAATCGCAATTAATCATTGCACAGCACTAGACCGTACCTGTAGTCTCAAAACGTGTGTTATGAAAACTCAGGTAGTCTAGTAATAATAACACAAGACAATTTTCAAATTAAAACATAATTAATTGTTTACACTATTTTCATATTAATATTATGATAAAATGTTAACAGAGTGTAATAGTTTTATAAATTTAGTTAGGGTTAGGTTTTTTAGGGTTTGTCTGGTTTGGTCTAACCCTAACGACATTTTTTAGTGACTATTCATTATTACTGACTCCAGGGCTCGCAAAATGTCTAAATCCCTGTTAGCCCTTCAGGCCGGCATACTTCAGCTTTTGGTAGCTCAAAATAAATGTAACTAGCCTAAACAAAAATGACATCGGCTGAACTTCACTGTGGATAAATCAGCATGATCGAAAACGTCCATGATTGTTTTCTTCAAGCAAGTCAAGAGAGTAGGGCTGCAATGAGGGGCCGTATAGGCCATAATTATTGAAAAGTCTCTTACAAACACTAGTCAAATTAAAAACATTGATAAACCGTAGTGAAATTCATTCATACGCATGACTGAAATAAGTAAATATTTCAGATGATGAGAGCTAATTTAACTTAAAACGGAAGCTGTCAACACTTCCGTTTAATTTTACGCATCTCACAAACTCTTCAATGGCGTTTAGTCCTAAGTTGTCTGAAGCTGTTAATATTTTAAATAAAATTTTACCGTCATCAAGTACAATTCTGAAAGTGGGACGAAACAGCGCAATGTTACAGAGCTCACGACCGACTCGACAGCGCCTGATTCTGACACAGAATCGCTAGCCTGACGTCTCGGATGGTGCTAGCGATTCTGTGAGCCCTGGACATAAGCTGAAACCATAAGGTGTTATGTTTTGTAATAATGTGATCTCGCTGGCCAAATCATTAGAAACAAAAACATCGTAAAACATGTCTATATGCTCACCACAATTTGACTGATGCTCTGAAAGGGTTAGTTTCACTCACACTCACATACTTTCAAACCTGTATCACTTTCTTTCATCTGCAGAACACAAAAGATGATATGCTGAAGAATCGACTTGCAATGTATGAACAGAAGAAAAAAAAAACATTTCTCAAAATATTATTTTGTGTTCCACAGAAGATAGTGATACAGGTTTGAAGCTAAATGAGGCAGTACAAGACAAAAGTGAAAATATATTTAGCTGTTTGTGAATGTATGTATAATAATGTGAAATAAAAAAGACATCCAATGACCTGTTTAAATTGTATATTATAAACAAAAATACCCTTAACTAAGACTTACCTCAATACAAATTTCCTGGACAAAATCAGGGGTGTGGTTTTGTCCGTCTTGGTCCTCCTCATCCCTCTTCTGTCCGTCTTGCTGTGAAGTTTTCATCTGTAATCAATATGTTTTAAAGTTAACTCACACGTAACAGAAAACTAGCTAACACAAAGAAAACTAAACAGTCATTTCAAAAACAACAACATTTTTAAGTATTAAAGTTCTCTTCATCACAAGTGGTGTATGATTCTTTTATTCATATTCTTGTACAGTTTGTTTCCATGCACCTTGTTAAGTGGTAAAGTTGTGCTAGATCCCATCTCATTAGTAAACACAACTATAACACAAACACCTAGATCAGAGGCAGAGATATGTACTCCTAATAACCACTAACAACTCCTTTACTACTGGTTTAATACTGTACATCATGTACAAATTGTTAAAGCATAAATTAAACAATAACTAAGCACAATTAACAATTAAGCATAATTAAACTATATTAATTTCTTAATTACAGTGGCAAAAACATTGAAAGATTGAAAGATGAAGATTTCACTATTTGTATTCAGGTTATTCATATATTAGCAATATAACGACTGCAATATATAAACTCTGAATAGTTTGCAAATGATTTGTAAGTACTGTATTACAGTGCTGTCTGCTTACTCTACAGCGTTCTGAAACGCTTCTACAGAGCAACATAAAGCCTGAGCTGCTGGAGCTGCAGCGAGTCTGAAACAAGCCGCAGCGGCGCCCCTCCCCCACACGAGCAGAGCGCTGGGGGAGGGGCGCGTATTAAACACTCCGGCTCTCTTTCATCATCAAACAACACGGATGCAAATGTTAAATAAATCGACAGTTTATATTTAATGTTTTAAAACATTACTTACTTCGTTTTTACACTGCTTTTCTTGTAGAATTGTTGTAAGTCACGCATACAGATTAAATATATACTGTAACGTTATACCAATTAAAAATACTTATTTACGTTAATATTCCACATTAAAATCATTCATTAAAACTAATCTATACAAAACATATCAATTGGTGCTTGGACCTCTCTCCCACCCTGTATTTATCGATACAAAAACGTGAACACTTAATTTAATAATGAAATAACACGGACACAAATGTTAAATAAATCGACAGTTCATAGTTAATGTTTTAAAACATGACTTACTTCGTCCTTCACACAGCTCCTCCGGTGTCTGTCCTCACAGATTCTGTGGTGTTCCCGCAGCCGCGTCAGTCTCCGGATCATTCGCTCCGACATTTCTCTCGTCGTTCTACACGTCACTGTCACGGTCGCGGCACGCGAGCTCGATTTACATACGCCACGTGACGTAATGCTGGCGCCAAAAAGCATAACACCCACACCGATTCGCCGCGCATAATACATCGCCATTATATGCAGCTCGTTGAAAATCAATTGCATTTTAAATTAATTTGTGAGACAGTTGTTGCTGAAATCCAGACATCGTATTTTATGTACTCTTTATTTCGGAAAGTAATTGTGATATTTAAGAAATAAATACAGTTTCTTTTAAAGATGTTTTTTTTCATTGGCCTACCAATCACAAAAATCACCAAGCCAACCAATCAAAAACACGGAGCTGCTCTCTTCCAGCCAATAATAAATCGGCTGCAGTACACGTCTTTATCCTTTAGAGGGAGCTCAGGAGAATAAAGGAAACACAGTTTCGTCATGATCTGATATTGAAGTAAGGACATCTGAGAAATTTGCATAGCACAATGCCCCTCCCTCCTGGGGGCTATATTGAGCAAAATAAAGTGAGGACCACGATTTTGTCCTCACTTTACCAAGAGGTCCTCACTTAAAAGGTGTTTTGTCACATTTTGGTCCTATAGCAAATAGCAATACAAACACACACACACACACACACACACACACACACACACACACACACACACATATCATATTTTAATTTGTATTATTAAATATACTGAAATATAGACTATCTAGCGCTAAATTCTCATACTGATTTAAGCGTTTAAGGAACTTTTATTTTGAAAATACGATCTCGCTGCGCTGTATAACCATGTTGTGGTACATTTCACGCTGGTAATTCTGGCTGATTCATTGTAGTCGGGCTGAAACTCAGCAGGCGCTCACAAATTATCTCTTTCTTATTGCACAGGTAAAGAAATAATACACATTTACTATCATAAAACAATTTTTTATGTCATATAGTATTGTCCGAGGGGATGTTTCTGTGATTAAACACTCTTAGTATGTTGTTGAGTGATTTAGTGTATTTAGCCTCTGTAGCACTATTAGCCTTTCTTGCAGTTGTTTGGAGATTAAATGAAGTTATAAATGTGTAAACCCAAGCTATTTTATATTTTCTATTTTTTCATAGCCTATTTTAAGTCTAAAAAGTTGTTTATGTGCTCACAGGCTACATAGTATATGTAAATATCACTATGCTAAATAGCTTAGCATGCTAGCAGTCTGAGGTTTGACAGTGAAAGCCTTCTGTGTCTGATTTTTGTAAAAGCTCATTGATTTTAATTTTAGGTGTTGACAACGTGGAATATTTTTAGTTAGGCTACACTTTGAAAACAGCTCATTAGGAAATATGGGTATTCAAAAATACCTACAATGTGAATATTCATGAATCAGCAACATTAACGTGCCCAGGTCTTTTAATATGAAAAGACTGACAAGTTTGTAAACTAAAGATAACTGCTTGTTTATATGTGTCTAGATCTAAGGAATGGACCGGCTTTTGAGGCTTGGAGGGGGAATGCCCGGACTCAGCCAGGTAATATTTATTGAGATTTTTAAATCTATTTAATAAACATGATGTTTTGTGTAGCAGAATCTGTGAGTGACAGCAGCCTGCAGTCATTAGACTGCTGAATGCTGAAGATTGCATCACACAGCATATCTACACTAATGTTTACTATACCTGCCATCACACACAGTTCATTTTCACAGTTCAGATTTCATTAAAAAGGCCCTTCAATATGTCCTGCCCAGCTTGCTATCAATAGAAAATACACTGCTACACTACCGTTCAAATATTAGATTTTTAGAAAATATATAGTTTTTTAAAGAATTTAATACTTGTATTCCACAAGGATGCATAAATTGTTAAAAATGACAGGACAGTAAAGACATTTATAATGATAAAAAAAATTTTTGTTTTAAATAAATGCTTTTGAGCTTTATATTCATTAAACAATCCTAAATAAAATGGTCACAGTTTGCACCAAAATATTAAAAGGCCTGGACACACCAAGCCGATGAGTGGAACACACCAAACAAACTAGCCCGACCGTCGGCTTGGTGTGTCCCGGCCTTAAAGGGTTAGTTCACCCAAAAGTGAAAATTAGCCCATAAATGACTCACCCTTTGCGCCAACAGTTGTACACAGAAGCAGCTCCGGGCTGATGATGTATGAGGTCAGTGTTGCGCATGCGCCGGTGAGTCTCGTGAAAACCAACGTTTGTTAACAGGAGCAAAGGAAGCAAAGTTTCCTTACTTTAGCAAAGGAAAACCAGTCTCCTCTTGGCTTATATCGAAATCCTCCGACATTCTTCTTTACAAATCCTCGTTTTGTACTTCTAATTAGTGACCGTTGTTTTAGTTTGATCTCTCCGATGCGCTTCCGCGTGCGTCACTTCTGAGCGGCGCATGCGCAACGCCGACCTCATACGTCATCCGCCCGGAACTGCTTCCAGTGTACAACGGTGAGCGCAAGCTACATTAAAGTGATTATTACGTTTTGAATATGGTTACTTTTCTTACAAAAACGCATCGATTCGCTACAGAAGGCCTTTGTTCACCCCCTAATAATTTTCTAATTTTAGACTATATTTGGGCTAATATTTTATTTGGGCTAATTTTCATTTTTGGGTGAACTAACCCTTTAAGCAGCATATCAGAATGATTACTGAAGGATCATGTGACACTGAAAACTGGAGTAATGATGCTGAAAATTCAGCTTTGCCATTAAAGTAACTATTTTAAATTGTAATAATATTTCACAAAATGACTGTTTTACTTTATTTTTAACAAATAAATGCAGCCTTCTTTTGAAAATATTAATAAAATTCTTACCCACCCCAAACATTTGAATGGTAGTGAATATAATTAAAGCCTAAGACTATTTTGTGCTGAAAATAGCAGTGAAAAGCCTGTGCTGCAGATTTTTTATGAATTTTATGTGAGCATAAATGTGTCGGGTGCTTTTTTTGGGTGGTGTTGTTGAGGGGGATGGCAGTATTGTGAGATTGCCCTCATGTGATTTTTCTCAAGGCCTGTGTGCATGATGGGTAGAGAGACATCTCTCAGCTCTCTCTGCCAATTAACACTTCCAATAACAGGCTGCCTTCCTCTGATTCACACCTCACTCCAGCAGTCAGCACAGAAGAGAGTGAGAGGAGAAAAAAAACACCCATGATTATTTTCTGTTCAGTCGTGCTGCTCTCATACTCCTATTTCCGTCTACAGCTGCACATGCTTTGTGTTTAAAAGTTGAGAATATTTCGTACAAAACTGATTTCCATAAAGTGTTGATTGGATTCATATAGATTTTTTTCAATCCTACTGAGCTCTGATTGGCTGGTTGATGTCCACACATATCCATATGGTCTTATGTTTGTGTATTTTATGATAATTGAGGTACATATATAATGTGTACATGACAATTACAGAAGGGTCACTAAATCTCTAAAACATGTTCCCCAAGCTGATGGATAGATTTTGCAAGATAGCTTTTCATCCATCTGTTTATCAAGCATCACCATGGCATCAATCCTACACTTTTGGTGTCAGCTGTCAATCAGACCATGCTAGCAGTCGGCATCTCTCAATCTATTAACATTTCCTGCACCTGCACTTGTGTCCAGATCTCCTGCCACTTTTGATTTTGATTTGATTCCCCCCCCCTCATCAATGATAATATAGTCCTACAGGATAACTTAAATATCTAAATAAATTATTATTAATATATTAAAATGATCAATCTCAAATATATATGAAATTGAAGAGTACAGTAAACTGCAATTATTTGTCTATTTTCTACGTTTAGAAATTTGTTTTGAACAACATAGTTATTTTAATTTTTAAATAATTGTTAATTTATCAACACTCTTAAGTTTCTGTTAATAAAAATAGTTTGGATACAAATAGCTTTGTCATATAAAATATCCGTATAAAAAACACTGTTCATCTCCAATTTTCTTTTTACTGCTATTTTACATTATTACATTTGTTTACAGATTTATTGCATTTTTACCATCACATTTCTTTAAGATCCACCGGTCACATTAGCCTTTTAACTGTATTAGTAGGTGTTTTAAAGAAGAATAAGCAGACTAATTAACAACGCTGTTGACACCTGGTATTAACATCCACTTTAAATGCGTCAAGGTTTGGGTGTCTGATTTTGTAATTACCTGTATTAATTTGAGTCACTATGATTTTAATTTCATATGTTCTTTTGATGGGTCTTTTAAACCTGTATTTATCTAGAAAAGTAAATGATAAATGGATTTAATGCAGGTTAATTGCCAGGATATGTATTTTTGATAATGATATCAGAAATTATTTTTTAGTAGAAATATATATATATATATATATATATATTTTTATTTTTATTTTTTTTTTTAATCAAAAATAGCCATTTTTACTAGTAACAATTCCATTCCTGATATAAAAGAGGATTACTTTATCTGCTTAAAAATCAACATTTTTTAAAATCAAAAATCCATTTCCTTGAAATGATTGGCTTGATTTGATTGGTCAAATCAGCTTGCAACAAATATAAGCAGAGTCTTGTTGAAGAGACTTGACTCATCTGGACTGTGTGTTTTCTGCAGGGTCCTCCCACAGATGCCCCCGCTGTGGACACAGCTGAACAGGTGTACATCTCCTCACTCGCCCTGCTGAAGGTCAGGATACACATGGTTCCTCTGTCTCACACGTTATACTTCACACCTGTTCTCACACCGCAAAATATAGTGTAACTGTAATGGTTAATTTCCCCTAGTTTGGTTTATATCATGATGCTGTCGTCACAGTTTCAGTTTTATTCTGTTAATACATTTTATATTGCTATTAATGAGTGTATGATTAGACTAATTTGAGGCCAAAAACATTTTTGCCCTGTGATCGCTCAGTACCAGTCTGAGCACGAGCATTACTTTAAATGTCTTCATTATCAAAAGAAGCATTGCAATTTTTTCTCTGTCTCAATCCAGCTCTTTTGTTTGTGTGTAGATGCTGAAACATGGCCGTGCTGGTGTGCCCATGGAAGTCATGGGCCTGATGCTGGGAGAGTTTGTGGACGATTACACCGTACGTGTGATTGACGTGTTTGCCATGCCGCAGTCAGGAACGGTGAGTGAAAAATTTCTCAGCAAGTTATTATTGTATTTCAAAAGATGTCACATCACATTCGAACTATTGTATGTGACAGCAAGCTCTAGTGTGTTTTACACTCCACACTGTGTTCACCTGTGCTCTTACAGTGATTCTGGATGTTTGTTCTGTTGACAGGGTGTGAGCGTTGAGGCCGTGGACCCTGTTTTTCAAGCCAAGATGTTAGACATGTTAAAGCAGACGGGAAGGTGAGAGGATGAGTGATGGTGAAAATCTAACTACTGTTTTGAGATTAATATTTTGATAATGTCAGATGATGAGGGTTTGTGATCTCTGTGTTGTAGGCCTGAGATGGTGGTGGGCTGGTACCACAGTCACCCTGGTTTTGGCTGCTGGTTGTCAGGTGTGGACATTAACACACAGCAGAGTTTTGAGGCGCTGTCGGAACGCGCTGTCGCAGTAGTGGTCGATCCCATCCAGAGCGTCAAGGGAAAGGTAACAGTCCATGAACATACACAACAGTTATTTTAAAGAAATTGATCGTTATTTCAAAGTATTTTTATTTTTGGGGTCACCTGCTCCTTCCTTACATATATTAATGCTTCACACACACATTGTTCAGCAATTCAGAGAACTTTCTTTTCGTCTGTATATGTGAATGTGTGCAGGTCTCCTGTCAGGGTGTGAGGATGCCTGGATGTCTGTTTTTTTTTTTTTTCTTCCTTGAATGTTTGTCGCTGAGCTCTGTTAGCACCCTCTGAATCATATGAGATAGTGTGAGGACTCCATCTCTCCCATCAGCCCTGAGTAGGGGAATAGGAACAGGAAAAGAGGATATTATAAGAGAAAGTATTATAGGAAAAGGATAGCGGCATTACCAAAAAAAAAAAGAATGAAAAAGAGAGATATTCTCAGTATTTATTACATGCCCGAAAAAAATGCATTATACCAATTTGATGATGTAAATATACCAATAATAACTTGAGGGTAAATAAGATATAAAAAAAATGAAATAATGCTTTTATTCAGCAAGGATGCATTAAATTGAACAAAAGTGACATTAAAGACATTATAAAATATTTCTGTTTCAAATAAATGCTGTTTTTTTAAACTTTCTATTCATTAAACAATACTGAAACAAATGAATAAACAGAAATATTAAGCAGCACAACTGTTTTCAACATTGATAATGTAAGAAATGGTTCTAGAGCGGCATATATTAGAATGATTTGTGAAGGATCATGTGACACTGAAGACTGGAGTAATGATGCTGAAAATTCAGCTTTGCATCACAGGAATAAATTACATTTTAAAGTATATTAAAATGGTTAACAGTTGTTTTAATTGTAATATTTCAAAATAAAAGTTGTTTTTTTTTTACACTGTTTTTTCTCAAATTTAGATTTGGTGAGCATAAGAGACTTCTTTCAAAAACACGAAAAAACACCAAAAGGCAGTGTAAAATTTTGGTAACAATTTATTTTAGGGTCTCTTAACTAGTTGCTTATTAGCATGCATATTACTAGAATATTAGCCATTTATTAGTATTCTACATGACCTTATTCTACATCCCTAATCCTCCCCAATACCTAAACTTGACAACTACCTTACTAACTATTAATAAGCAGCAAATTAGGAATTTATTGAGGGAAAAGTCGTAGTTAATAGTGAATAAGTGTTCCCTATTCTAAAGTGTTACCAACATTTTTTTTAATTATGTTTGCATTCCAAATCCATTAACATAATTTATTATTTATATGCAGAGTCATTAACAATAATAATATCATTTACTTATTTTATCTTAATTTATTTGAGTCGGGGATGGGGACAGGCAATAAAACATTTAGTTGAACTTTAACTTTGGTTGAAGCATTTGACCTGAAAAGTTTCATTGCTGCCTTGCACTTGTTTGTTTTCCATTTTAAAATATTCATATCCCACACCTCCAGAGTATCATCTTGTCTCTGTGAACACAGTATGAGTGGTTTAAAACATGTTGTGAGTTCTTCATGGTGTCAGCACTACATGGTCTCTCTGTCTTTCTCCTGTGCTTGATGATAATACACCCTCTGAGCATCGCACCTCACATCCCTGCAAATGGAACGTCCCCTTCAACACAGATGTGGGACCCTGCAGGATTTTACACCAGTTGGTTCAGTCAGGATCTAACGAGTCCCCAGGGTTCAAGAGGCGTTACTTTGTGTATGTGTGTGTGATTGGTACTTTCTACACAATCCGCTTCCCTATTTAACACACTTTTGTCCAAGACAGGAACTCTATCAAAAATCCCATCATTGTGATTTGGTCCAGGGCTTTTTTTTAAACTGCCTTTTGTGTTCTTCATAACATTATTTAAAATCAGTAGCATAGGTGTTTATCTGAGACTTCTGGTGAGAATAGTCTTAATTAAAAATAGTCTCTAAACTGATTACACCGCAGGTGATACAAGGTCAGTTTTTGAAGTTATAAAAGTTTTAATGCAACTTTATTATTTAGTCTTTTTTTATTAATTCTATTAATTTATTCAGTCTTGTATTGCTGGTCATTTTATGCTGAAAAAAACCTGTCCACATCTCCAGATTCTCTTTAATTTTGGAAATGGGCCATGGTAATATAATTAATATCTAAAGT